TTAATTCATTCTCTTTAAGGTTACTATCTTTTTTCTTGAATGAAGAATAGGATATACTTTTGCCTCTGATTTCCATAAGTAGTGTTTCTAAAAATAGTTGATCGTTAATAGTGAATTGTATGTCTGTGTCCTGAATATCATCTAAATTGGACAAGTTATAGACTGGGACAGCATACTGTTCCTTTACTTTACATATTACAGATTTAACAAGATCTAAATATTGACAATCTTCTAAAAGTGAGTTGTTGAATTTCCATAATCCTTTACCTTTTTTAAACTCGTTGAATTTGATCTTGATTACTGGGGTAGAATGGTCTGATCTATAACTTGGTTCTATACTTGTCGATTCAATACTGGATAAAAGATTTTCAGAGGTGAGAAAAAAGTCTAGCCGTGCTTGTTTTCTAGGATTTGTTTTCCTCCATGTGAATCGTTTTTTATCAGGGTGATGTTCTCTATAAATATCTACTAAATTTTTATCTTCTACAATTTGAATGACTTTATCTCTTGACTTTGGGTTATTTATGTGTTTATAATTTTCGTAATCTATATCAGGTTTTAAAACTAGGTTGAAATCTCCACATATTATCTGTGAATCATTATTGAATTCATCTAAGGTGTTTTCTACATTTTCGAAGAAAGATGGTGTATCTGTGTTTGGACCATAAACATTGATTAGTGTAATTTTTTTGCCCTCAATCATTATATCTAATGCCAAAAAATTCCCCGAGTTATCCTGCTTTACTTTAAAAACTTTATGTTCAAAATTGTTATTAATTAAAAACGCCACCCCTCTTGAATTAGAAGAAAAAGAACTAAAATAACATTCATATCCCCATTCTGACCTTATTCTGTCTTCAGTCTGCTTTGTGAAGTGAGTATCTTGAATACAATAAATGCTATATTTCTTACCTCTTAAGTATGCAAAAAGATCTTTTCGTTTGTTTCTATCACCAATACCCTGACAATTTGCTGAGAGTATATCAATTGTGTCCACCCCCCTTTATGTCAATGTATATTACAAGAGACCACTTACTTAAGATGAACCATGTGTTGTTTCTAACATTGTTATAAAATAAGGATAACTTTAGAGCACTAACCAGGAGAAAGACATGCACAAAAATAACATTTGTATAAAGGACATGACATACATTACAACATACTACAATTATGCTTAAAAATAGCTCCTTAGATAGCATTGGTTTAATTTGCAGCTACATTTAAACTGATAAGTGTTGGATCAATAATATATCCGAGCTTTCATAATCAGCCACCACCTGGTTATTTGATAAGTGTTAAGTTCTATTTACAACTTTATACAACTCGTCTAAGTACCGTTTCGTTATACCTGTGCTCTGCCTGCTGCCGGCAATAATCCTCTCCAGTACGGGCTGTGAATGACTGTAGGCCTAGTTTCGTTTTCTAAATATAGATGTGTTACCCACAATCCCTGGTTTGTTTCCGGTTAGAGTGTTCACGAGTTTATGTAACAGTTTGTATTTTGATATTTTTTATGAAAAGTCTTACTAGCCTAGTGCATGTCAAGTCTCTTCACGACAAAGAAATATGACATTCATAAATAAATATTGGTAACTTGAATGGAATCATATATTGTCATATTTTTCTAAGGGACAATACATTGCAGTGACGTAAGGTATAGGGGAGATAATTCTACCATGCAGCAGGCAAAGCATCAAGACAAGACATTCAACACATAATCATATACACATTGATTATCGCTAAACAGTTTGATTATACATATTCATCATTCAGGATACAGGTGCTCAACAAGATGTTTAATTTACAAATTCATATACTTAACCTATAGATAGAAGAATAGCAGACACTTAAAAATACAAATGCATCCTCTTTGCATACAAATACTGATAGTGGAGTAAAGAAAACTGATATCAATTGTTGTGTTTCGACCTCGTCTATATATACAAATATACTATGTGTGTGTGTGTGTGTGTGTGTGTATATATATATATGTTATATATATAAATATAAATTTTCTGTACATCATGCTAACACCTGTTCATGTAACTAGCAGTATAGACTATATACTAGAGGGATGGGGGCAGGCAAGATGGTAGGTATATATGTTATATATATAAATATATGTATAACAAGCTAACAACACCTGTTTAGCTAACTAACATATTTGCATACAAATAGTGATATTGGAGTTAAGGAACCAACATACAACTGATTGATTGCTAATTGACCACAGTTATATTCGGAGGGGGGGGGGGGGGGGGGGCGCTGATGGTAGGTATATATGTTATACATATGAATTTGTGTTATTGGAATAAAGAAACATAAAACTGGTCGAGTGTTATGTTTCGACCACGTATATACTAGGGAAGGGGGAATGATAGGTGTATATGTTATAAATATATGTACTAGTACGTCATGCTAACACATGTTCATCTAACTGGCATATTTGCATACAGATAGTGATACTGAAGTATAAAAAACATCCAACTGGTCGAGTGTTGTGTTTCGACCATGTATATATACTAAAGAGGGGGGAGGGGGGGAGGATGGTTTATGTTATATATATATATGTTTATATATGGTACATCGATCATATTCTGCTTCAGCTAATTGGCATATTTGACAATAAAGGATGGTAGACAATACACTCTCAAAAACTAAGAAGGAATAAATCATATTATACGTATATGCATATAAAGGAATACAATGTCACAATCACTCTCGTTGTTGTGGGAACTATCTATTTTGATTTTGGTTTTACCTTGGTCAGCTTGTCATCCAAGTTGTCATAAATGTCAAACATCTTTCTGTCACCATTTAATGTTTTGCCGTACACTCGCGAGTTAAAGTACCAGACCGACTCGATACGCGCGTCCTGGTATAGTTTCTGTATAAGCTCAATGTTGAGTTTTGTTACGTCCTCGCGTAATGTGAGGGTCAATCTACAGTTTTTGTCCTTGCGAGTCCTCATCACATGATGCTTTATGTCGTTGCGAGCGAACTTAACAAGCACTGGTTTAGTCTTCCTGGAATTCTTGGATGGGATCCTATGACAGGCCAGTATCTCACAGGGCTTGATCTCAATCTTCGCTTCCTGTCTAAGCTACTCTCTTATTAACTGTAAAGCTAAATGTGGTGACAATATTTACTAACTATATAGTTTTATATGGTAATCAGCATTTTACTCACTATATAGCTAAGTGTGGTGAAGACCATATTACTAACTTCATAACTAATTATTTGTTTACAATATTACCTATATATGTTTACCACTATGTTTTAATTAATTTGTGTGTGTTTTGTGTGTGTGTGTGTGTGTGTGTGTGTGTGTGTGTTTGTGGTTTGTGTGTGTGTGTGTGTGTGTGATTACGTAATCGCATCCGCTCCGGTAATATGGAGGCGTTATCCACAAGTGATGGGTAAACTCAAGGCCCACCTTATAGTGTCATCTCACTGAAATATCGATTTACCGGGTCGCATTTTGTTTATGGACAATGGACCATTAGCCCATTCAAAGACATGTTATGCATCTTACTTTGTTAGTGTTAGGTTTTATAGCATAATTTGATATTTCTCACCAACTCTAGTGACTCCTTTCTAAACGTACTTTTATTAGGTTACAGCGTTCGCGAGGAGGTATCACCTCCCTTGTCTTGCCTGTAACAAACTACCAATATACCTCGCCGGGACCAAACCGGAGCAGATAATCAACAACGGCGAGTAAATCGGAAGAGCTTCGGCGAGAAAGCACTTGATTTTTTTTTTTTATCAAATTGACCGTAGCAATACCGATGTAGTACCGGCGTTCCCATTGTTGTACCGTTGTCCTTCCGATGTAAGAGCCGATGTGCTTCCGAATACAATTTTTCTTACGTTAGTACATCGGAGGTGCATCAGTACCACTTCGGTGGTATTCGGTAGTACTAAGGTATCACATCGGTACCAGAACGGTACACATTGAGGCCAACGGAGACCCGCCAATCCATCACGGGGCGCTTCCAGTGCTATACCGACATTAACAAAGCCCTACCGGAATACTGCCGTTGAACCTTGCTCGCTCCGGCAGCGCAACGGCGGAAATGTTTGAGCATGTTCAAAAATTTCTACTGTCGCCTGCCGTTGCTAACATTTTCGCCGATGTTCTGACGATGTCCTGACGATGTACTACCGTTCTTAGCGATGTAATAAGTTGCACTGCCGTAATCAGTACCGATCCCCGAGAATCGTCAACAGTGTGCTCCGGTATAGCTCCGGCAACCCAAATCGGCTAAGTGTGACAGGTCCTTACCTGTAAGTCTCCATCTAGTATCGCAATCCCGTTCAACTTAGTGACAACGTTTGTGTTTCAAAGGAACAAGCTGCAACATATCTAAAGAAAAGGTCTCCAACTAGTTTTATTGCAAAAAAATATAATGATTATCCAATTAAATTATAATGCTTTTATTAACAATGCTTCAAATGTTTCCGTATATTTTCACATCTAAATACTTTGTCGTGAACATTGTTTACATTGGTAATTGTATTACAAAATATAACAAGTGTAATTATTTGTCATTTGTGTATTTTTATGTATCATCACTCGTGTTACAACAAAACAAAATGTCACGGCATACGTAGATCTCTATCTATTTCTCAGTAGCTCTTCTAATACCTCGTGAATCAAGTTACAACAAGACAAAATATACTGTGTTTCTTTTAATCCAATCAGTCACTTCGTCAATTGTGTTACAAACTAACAAACTATTCCCCTATAAGTCACTTAGTTGTTCAACTAAAATGTCATGGCACTGAACCATACCGCTTTAAGTATGGCGACAAAGTTAGTTACAATACAACCTTGTTCCACGGTGACCCTGTAAGTCCCCATGGACTGGGTTTAGATCGTCTATCATCCCAGTAGCCATACTGTATCATGTACATTTCACCTTTCCATCTCCCGTTGTGTAGTAGTGTGTGCTGTGAGTGGCGAGTAGTCTGTAGTATGAGTGACGGCAGTGGTATACGGAGCGAGCATTTCACTGCGATCCTTCCCGCTCTCAGTCGAGCGTATAGAAACAGTCCATAGCAGCACTCCGCTCCAGACCCTATGTCAGCGGTAGCATTACCTTCCAGTAATCTTACCTGCCATCCATAGGTCGTGTTTCATTAATACATGAAGGTGATCGCTTCGTTATTGTTTTGTAATCCTACTTCATAAAGTGTAGTCACATCCCTGGGATATTAAACATCCGCTTATGATTAGTGGAATGTGAAGTTCATGTTTGTTGATTAAGTTTTTATGAAATTTGTGTAATAGGAAAGAACGGACTGACATCGGGAGAATGGGACGGCTCCCTCAGGTGGAAATCTAATGTATATCGTTGCCGGAGCTCTGTTTCCGCCATCCAATACTTTTTATTGATATTACAACATCACGTGATACCATACATATTGCTTGATTTTTTTCAAACCGTTTCAGATTTCAAACAGAATTATCTTCGAGTTGTGCTGAAACGCGTCCGAACCGCAGTTCAGTTGGAATGTGGCTTTTTGGTTCGTGATCAGTGAAAAGTTGTTTATAACCCAATTTACTATTGTGGATATTTCTTAATGAAAATGCACAGTGATTTGTGATTTTTGAATACTTTTTTTGTGTGTTTTTTATAGTTCTGGGATGCAGATTGGATTGGTGTGAGGAGAATCAAATATATATCTACGCTGGAAATACGTGATTTTCTAAACAAACTCTGCAGCTACTATGATGGAGCCCAACCCAGATCAACAAAAGCTAAACACGCACATTGTCATCCCTGTCCCAGAGGAAGGCACGGGACCCCATCGGACCAAACTCCAAAGATTTAAACAAACATGTGGCAAAAACGTGAAAGAAAACCTAATTTTGATTCTATTGTTGGGATCTGTTGTGATGGGAGTCGCTATTGGGTTTGCGGTACGTTCTGGAACGAAAATGACAAAAAGAGAAATTATGTACCTGTCTTTTCCGGGAGAAATGTTGATGCGAATGTTGAAAATGTTGATTCTACCACTGATAGTGTCCAGTTTGATAGCAGGTATCGCCGGCCTGGACGCCAAGACTTGTGGCAAGATGGGTTTGAGAACAATGGCGTACTTTGCGACAACTACGCTTTTGGCGGTCATTCTGGGAATAACTATGGCCGTCATCATTCAGCCTGGCCGGAATGCTGACCGGTCAAAAATTCAGCGATATGGAAAAACAGAAAAACTGAACACTGCCGACACTTTCCTAGACCTTATCAGGTTAGTTTTAAATTTTTGATATATTTTTCTTTTTAAAATCTATCACTGGTAATCCTACCATTAAGGTTAAGGTCGCTTACAATATCATAATGTAAATTGCATATACCTGAAACATCAATGCACACAGTACAAGTAAGAATATAAGCATAACAATGATTCTTTTTATAACAATTTGTTTTGTCCTTATATATTTTTGGCTTTAAAATAGCTTTCCCATGTTACTGGACATCAAATCAAGGATGTACTGACGACTCCGTGATTTACGTCAATGGAAAGCATTTATCCATAAAGCACGCTTATCATTACTGTTTAGGAATTATTGTAAAACTCGTAAAATAGTAATTTCTGCTGTGGAGAATCCTTCTAGTGTGTTTTTGTATTTCCATGAATAATTCGATGATTACATATTGTCAATTGTATCGATAACGTTATACCTATAGAACATTCGCAGCGTGTTCCGTTTAACATTGTATGTTGTATGATGCCCAAGGCACCATATTTGTCTTTTATTCTTTCCATAGTGTAATCTTATCAAAAGGATGAGAAAATGAAACTCCATCTATGTTATGTTTTGAATTATGTCAACGAAAATAATCCATATGAACTACATGTGTCCAAAAATATCTTTTAGACAAAAAACAAAATTGAGAGATTTATAATTTCATAAAAGCTTTTTTATTATTATTTTTTTTTTTTTTAAAAAAACCCAAATGCTTATAATTATAGAATGAACACGTTGTTTTCAGGCATGTAGAAAAACATGATCTTAAAACTTTGAATGAGTTGAAACAGAAAGGGCAAAATTGTACAGATCCTGCTGCTGTCAGTTTGAAAATATAATCATGTCACCACAAAGAAATAATACTGTTTTTCCTGTTGTACGTTTGACGTATGGCTAGTTGGCGTGTTAAACACACGTCTGGCAGTGGCTATATAATCCTCACCCAGGGCTCGGCTCTTTAAATCTTTGTCATAATTGAATAAGATAATCATGGGACCCAGTTCTCCTGGTTTTTATAGGAAAATAGAAAGAAAATGAAAAGAATAAAAAGATAACATAAAATGATTATCAGCTATGCGTGTTGTATCGTACATATATTAACAAAACACGCAATGTAAGATTTGAACTGAACATGCATGAAGCCTCAATACAAAATAACTGTCCATTTTCATTTTCTTATTATATTGTGTATTAAATAAATTATATTGGTGAAAAGAAATTGATTCACCGAAATTATAAACACAATGTTCTGAAGCGTGAATGCTACTTGTATCCGAACCGACTGTGTTTATATATCGTTGCCCGCCATAGGCTATTGTTGATATAAATACTAAACAACGTGACCACATCCTTCTATTTGACCTTTACACCTGAATTCGAAGGTATCGTACAAAACGTATGACACATTCACGTGTTCGAGGGATTAATTTATTCAAAATCGATACAAGAATACTACTGGAAACTATTTTGCTTACACAATTATATTTCTTTTGTGATTGTGCTAAAATCATTTTTTTGTCACGGCATACAAAATATTTTTAATTACGTTTTCTTTAAATTTACCCCGAATAGATTTTTTGCAGGATCTTTAAATTTGCGATAAGGTTGCAAAATAACGAGAACAAAAAATTTCGCGAAATACGAACCATTTTCGTTATCATTAAATTTCAACTGGTTACAATAATCAAATTAACAGGATTTGTCGTGAAACACCATAAACTCAAATAATCAACCGTTTGTTATCATTCCTCTTCCTCTTATGAGATTACGTTTTCTGTACAGTTATATGTTTATCTCTCAGATAACAAGTTAAAAGCATATTGTTAGATACTTTAAATACCATCTGTGTTGTTTTTGTTCCATTAACAGCACTACTTCAGCTTTGCAGGTTCGTTTTTTATATGATAATCATCATTTTTCAACATTTCACTGGTTGTGCATTATGAATCTGTATCCAACCTATTGACATGGTTTTTAGAAATGAAAATAAGGCTGGTAATTTACAAATAACCTTGACATTAGTTTTTTTTATTTGGTAAGTATAATATCCTTGACTAGTGCTATCATTAACAATAGATCATGTTACCGTTGATAACATTCACCGTACCTGATGGCTGGAAATGATTATAGCAGTTTGGTGATAATTAGAATTAATTATTTAAAAGTTGGTCGTAAATTAGTTTGAAATTGACAAACAAGCCGCCGTTGAGTGTTGTGATTAGTAATTAGTGTTTTAGTGGAGTTGTACATTGTATCCTTATGTCTGACGTCAGCATGATATAGGTAGCTAATATACTGTATAGCACTTATAGTTAGTGAATAGTGTATCAACACGACAGCGTTATTTTCGGGGTTTTCTAGATGCGAAGTATCCGTGCTAACCAACGTGGCAGCGAAAATGTTCAAGGGAAGAAATAATGGCCAACGTTTTGAATTCAAACCTGTGTAAAAGTTAGAATTTTTAGCGATTGTCTTTTAAAGACTTATTCATGAGCCTGTCAATTCATATAAAAAATGTTTTAAAATATATATCGGCCAATTAAAACATAGATGGGTATTTAGAAATTTAAATGAGTTCTTGACAGAAAGGTATGAATTTTAATGAACGGGGAAAATATACATCCCATGGAAATCATTAGTTTGGTGAAATTGTTAAAGTAGAAAATGTTGAAAATAAATCTAAAAAATCTAGGTCAGCTTTTGTAAGCGTGCTTACGGCTGCTGTTTCATTGCTTTTGTATTTCAAGGTTTTTTGACATAATTTTATGCAGCTTTTCTATAACTAATGTTTCTATGAATGAATCTCTAAAAAAATGGTTTTGATTAAAACTGCTACACTGTTAATTTTGAACGTGAATGTTGCTTTCAAAGTTAAAATATGAGAAAGATAGATAGAAATATAATATAAAATGCTGCAGGATTAATGATATATATTATATATAGAAGTGTATGCTTTATGTGCAATTGTACTGAAAATACAGAGAAATGTTTTGGGAATATTACATGAAGATGTGACAAGTGACAGTATACTTTCAGCCAACACAAGCAAGATTTGCACTGTGCTTTTGGAACTGAAATTAAATTAAAGACATGAAAAAAGAAAAAAAAAAAAAACCTGAGCAAATGATTGGTCAGTTTCAGTTGTTAGATATTTTAGAAAGGTTTTCTTTCACGTATTTCAAGGAAATTTTGTTTGAGCGAAATACGTCAATCCCGAGAACCGCTTTAGTAGGTAATATTTGATTGTTTTATCAGTTCTTGAGTGAAGAATATATGGGGATGAACTTAAAATCAATAATGTTGGAAACTCTGTAACTAATTCTACACTTGTTCGGTAGCTCTATATGTGCAAAATTAACACTTATTTTATACCATTTCGAGCTTTTCAACCACAAAAAACCGATATGACATTTGAAACATGAACATATGAGAAAGACTTCGCTTTTCTTGTGTTACGGGGATTTTATGTTTCTTTTACCAGATATGAAATATATCATACCACAGAGAGAAATTTATATAGGCTTTAAGAATGATATTCTATTCAACTGTTTAACAATACGATTCTTTTAAATTGAAACTACAACTATTGCACGAAGATAAGGTCATTGCACATATACCCTAAGGATGTAAAAGAATTTCAACCAGGATAACACTTAAATGAAAGTTATCCTGAAAGGTCATTTAGTTCGGGTAGGTCTTTCCGACTTATATAGTTGTAGTTCGTCTTACACATCTTAGCAATCTCTTAAATCTCCAGAGGAATAGCCTACAAGTTTAGCCAATAATTCGTTTAAATAACATTTTAAAACTAAAAATGTATAATGATTGCCAAGAAAGAAAAGCTATTAACAACAAGCGCTGACAAAGGGCTTATTTTTGTACGAAACAATACGAGACAATCCGAGACACAACTTCTATTTTAGCCGCGTGTAGTTTATATATAATGTTTGTGACTTAACCCGAGACTATAACCAATATCAAAGTTCCTTATATAGATGTAATGTTTTTAAAACGTACTTAGGTTTTTTGTCAGGTAATGAAGAAAGTAAAAAATAGCAACAATCTATCAGGAGAAAAGAAATATAGCAATCTTACTTAAGTTGATGAAGTATCGCGAATATAAACCTTGTATGTCATAAACTTTCTGTTTGATATACAATGGCATTATCCTAAACGTGTGCGCTATCGTATATATTACACAGAGGTATTTTTGATGAACATACAAATTACCTGTCAATCTGCCTTGTCTCTCATTGCAAAACCTCAAAACATAACAGTTGATTGTTGAAACAAGTTAATACAAACTGCAGTCCAAACTTATTTAGAAATTGAATAATTACCGAGGGAGCATACACTAGCTGACTATCTAGTGAATGATGATAAAATAATCTAAAGCCCCTTGTGTTCCGATAGCTATGTGAGTCAGTTAGACACGACTAGGACACCGTCTGTTTCCACTACAGCTACATGTGTTGTTCCATAGGGACCACCACACAGCAGGGACACCAGACAACCTAGCTTCTACGTATCAATAATACATGGATTAACCATGCATAACAACAGGAAAGCTTTCCATTCTGGGACAAATGGGTACGATAGTGTTTTAACATAAAATGTCAGTGATCAGTAAGTTTATGTATGTCAGGAAGACATCCATATGAGCCATACAAAAATAAACAAAAAGTTAAAAATGATCGAAAGTTCACTACAAACTAGTGCCATAGTAATTCTACAGATATTCTTTTAAGCATTATACGATGAGATGACCCTGACTTGTATAGTTTGTGTTGTACGTGGCACTCTTATGACAATTACACTTGTGTATCAAAGGGAACTGTGAACAGTAGCAACTACGGGAGCGAGGTAACAATATAGTCACTTTGTAATGTAGGTCAGGCAGGAAAAACAATTTTCAAAAATTAATGTGACATCATACTATGGATAAAGGTTACACAAACAAATATCATTAACGCTTTTTTGTAGGTCAGAGTTCAAATTA